AAAACATACAAAGAACATTTAAGATACTACCAAATAATTTGTACTTAAAATTATGTTAAAATTATCTTTTTAAATATTTTGAGAATGGTACTATTTTTTCTGGTCTCATCAATATTAGATTATAAAATTATTAACCAATAAAGAGCACATTCTTTTTCTTATATCCTGTAATAGGTTTATCTATGTAAAGATTATTTGTAGATCTAGTATTATATGCTGACTGCCTTTGTGAAAATATATTTCTTAAATAATATGGAGTTATTAAAAGGCATTCATTATTTTGAACATCATTACTTTCTCATTGAAGGTAAGTTTATGTTCAAGATTGGACCATATAAGTTTTTCAAATGCTTGTGTACCAGAATTGTATTTTCGTTTGTTGTTATTATTATATTAGCTGCTCTGATGTGTAATACATACTATTTATTTATTGCTTAAGGTTTTGTTACAGACATCTACCCCATACAACATTGCAGTAATCAAAACATGGGGCTATTTAGCTTTGTACAGCATTGATAAACACAGCTTACAACAAAACACATAAAAAAGTAAGGGTTAAAAAAATCTTCCCCCTCAGTCAACACTTGGCTCTGAATCAAGTTCGAAGGTTAACTAGATCTGCATGAGCTTCTCGTAGCCAAGCTGACAAAGGACTAAGATGAAGCAATCAAAAAGTAAAACTGAAGTATCTTGAAGATAGCATCAAAGACAGGACAGGTGCAATCACCATCTTAATAAAACAACAGGCACCTGAGGTACACACAATCTTTAAATCTGATATCAAATACTTAACCTCTTCGTAAATAATATAGTGCAGTAGGAAAGTTTCAATACCGTAAAACCTTGAATAGAAGCCCAATGAGCTTAATCTCGGGAAGAAGCTCATCTTGAATCGAAGCCTTCCCCCCCCCCCACCTTTTATTTTGCAAAAATAGCCTCGAAAAGAAGCCCATCTCATTAAGTAGCATGGGCTTTTTTCGCGATAGTACCGTACATAAACTAAATTAAAAACATGCTTGTTTATACAGTAATTTAGGTGATTTAATGCCGGTTACACTCCATGATACAGATTGATGTTACAGTGGCCCTATTTATTTTTTTCTAGTACTGTAGTAATTCCCAAAATTCACAGCATTAATTTTGAAAAGCCCTGCTCTTTGCTTTGCAAAAATAGGCTCAAAAAGAAGCCCATCCAAAGAAAAGTGAAGACGCCCAGAGCTTCAATTTGAGGTTTTACGAACGTAAAAGTAAATATTTATTTTATTCACTTAAATAAGTACTGCATACTTTAACTTACTTAACACCTAACAACAGTGTATTAAATAATTTACATTTTTTTAAAATTAATTTATTTATATTTTATATTCTTATCTATTTACTTAATTTTATTTATTTATTCATTTATTTTTCTTTCTTTTGACCGCAACATATATGAGTACTGTACATTGTGGAGTATACTCAACTAAAGGTTATGCACAGTACGGTAACAGAAGATGATGATGATGATTTAAGTTAGTCTACCATTTTATACATGCTCTATCTACTAATAATAAAATTATAAACTTTATTTTAGTCTACCAGTATGATTACCTTACTAATTAATGTCTATGAAACTATAATACTTCATTTGATTTATGAAAAAAAAAAAAAAAAAAATGCAATGCTGAACAGATAATATAAACTGTGAACTAAATAATATGCAGTACATAAAAAGACTGGCTGGATACACCAAGCAAGTGTAATAAAACACAGAAACAGATAAATAAACACAGCTAATTTTTGCTGACAAAATGATCTTTTGTGAAAGATTGAATAGTATCAAAAAACCGAAAGGTTCACTGATTAATCTCAGATAAGAAAATATAATACATACTTCAAGTATTGAAATACATGCCATCGTGTTAATGTTCAATATTTCAACATTAATTATGTCATTGTTGTTTCAAAAACATACCCATATATAAACAAAGAGGACGGGCTAGGTAGATGTATTTGGTGAATGACATTTGTGATGATGGTAATGATGCTTAAAATGATGCTTATAATGACAACAGTACTAATATGGAAGTAATAATTTTATTGCAAATGCCTTCCTGTAGACTACCTACTTAGACTAAGCTGACTATTAGGCCAACACAACCACATCCTCTATCATGTTTTAATTGCTCAAAATATATGTCAGATGGAAACAGCATTCTGAAATTACGTGCTACTTAATGCATATCTTATACTAAGAACTTTAGCCAGTATTAGGTAATCAGCAATCTGTTGTTATCTATTCATAATCACAAGCAAAGATCTGGTAGCTCCCACATCTGTTGGTCTTGGATGTGAATACTATCTTAATACTAAAAACTAAGTATAAGTTATATTAAAGACCCTATATGCTTTTTTAAAAGAATATTCTGAGGCCCAAATTTACTATCGGCTTAAGAGGTCCGAATTGAAAGAGAACAGGCCCCAAATTCTTTTGACACTGGCCCAAAGGTATCGGAAGATGAACACTTATAAACTTTCCAACTGTATTCCGGCCGAAACAGCCCAATTGTAAGAGTAAATTGAACAGAATATATCAATCAATTAACTGCTGTCAATGGCTTTTCATTTTCTAAAATTCCACATAAAATGTAAAATATCAACCTTGACAGGGTGGCATTATGGCATCAGTTCTTAAGATCGAACTATGCAAAAATCTGCTATCTCATTGTTATTCATTTAGGAAGACATAATGAACGTCTCCAATCATCTCAATATTACCAACAATATATTGACACCATCTTTGTCCATATCCTATCTATTGCTAATTTGAGACAGCATACTTTCTCTTCAGCCATTCTTTACTTGTTAGCCAGCTTCCTGCCCCATAAACCTGATGACATGAATCCTATTGGCATTTAGTATTATTTTTAAATGCCTCTTCATTTTCAACCGCAACCAACAATTCCTGCAATCGTGGTGTTGAATTGGAACTGAGGCACCACTGACACCACTTGGGTTTTTATCTGATGTCACAGTACTGTACACCACTTGGGTTTATCTAATGTCACAGTACTGTACACCACTTGGGTTTTTATCTGATGTCACAGTACTGTACACCACTTGGGTTTTTATCTGATGTCACAGAACTGTACACCACTTGGGTTTTTATCTGATGTCACAGTATTGTTGCAATTACTAAGGATCAGAAAAAACTCAAATTAACTTTTAAAAAGATAATAATTTTAAAAAAATATAGATTTTTGTATTAAACAGATATTAGACAATATTTCATGGTTTTTATATTTTTATATAATTGTAACAATGTAATTAATATTTTGTACATACAATTTTTTTAGCCTTTGTGCTACCAATTGTATCTTGATGTTTATACCGAAATAAATAAATAAATAAATAAATTATACATTATTAGAATTAATATTATGCAATTATTGTAATGTTCTATTAAGAGCACTGTTGAAACCATTTCTGCCTGTGAATAAGTCTGCAATACCTGAATGCCATTTTTGAAGCTGCTACAGAGGGAGCTATTGCAATAACTAACTTCATGTATTTACAGATGTGTGAACTATGCTACAGGCATTGATTTAAGAAACCTTCTTTACATCTATTTTCAATTTTATAATACATGGACAAGTACTGTTGTAGACAAATGGTAGACTTTTGAATTTTCTTGCACTTTTGTGTACATTATCATTCTCCTTAATCAAACTTTTCTTCCTCGCTCATTGATTCTGTAAAATACATTGGATTGGATTAATTATGATAGATTTAAAGAAGGCATTTGACACTGTAAATCATAAAATTCTTATAGACAAACTAAATAAATATTCTCTTGATATCTCTGTTACAAAAATTGTTTCTTAATAATCGAACTCAAATCATAAATGTAGATGGTACATACATTGTGTGTGGAATACCCCAAGGTTCAATTCTAGGGCCACTATTATACATTTTGTATATAAACGACTTACCTAGTCATATTTGTCATGTAAAAATTAGTATGTATGCTGATGACACAGTTCTATATTATGTATCTAAAGATATAGAGGATGTTGTCCACAAAATTAACATTGATCTAGGAAATATAAAAAACTGGTTAGCATGTAACAAATTAAGTTTAAATGTAAAAAAGACCGAGTGTATGTTTATTGGCACACATAAGAAATTGGCAAAATTAACAGATACAGATCTGAGTATTAACATTAATGGTGAACGTTTAAATAGGGTGCAAAGCTGTAAACATCTAGGTGTGTATATTGATGAAAATTTATCTTGGGAAAAACAAACAGGGCATGTTAAAAATAAGGTCCTGCCTTGCTTATACTATTTGAAAAAGTCCTGTAACATAATCCCCCAGCACCTTCAAAATATGATGTACAAATCTTTAATAGCCCCACATTTTGATTACTGTAATGTTGTGTGGGGTAGAACAAATAAAACTTTAACTAACAAATTACAAGTTCTTCAAAACCGAGCAGCAAAGATTATCCTAAAAAAGACAAGTTACGACTCAAGTTCCCAAACCTTGCAGGATCTTAAATGGGTAAACCTTGAAACAAACCTCTTCTAAAATGAGGCTATTATTATGTTTAAAATATTTCATGATTTAGCACCATCATATCTTAGGAACAGATTTACTTTAAGAAATCCACAATACAATACAAGAACAATGGATGTCTTATATACTGAAAAACCTAAAACAGAATATAAAAAAAGAAGTTTAACTTACCATGGTGCTAAGTTATGGAATAATTTAAATGATGAGTATAGAAATTCAGCAATGGATAGATATTCAGCAAATATTAATAAATTTAAAGAAATCATTAATCTAATCTAACTTCTGATATTAAATTAATCAATTATGTATATTAAATTAATTAATGTATATGTTTTTGATTTATTTTAAACTAAAGATACTATTTAATTTCACATTTTAATCACATTTATTACTTAATCAAATTCTTTAATGTTTATACTTTTGTTATGTATTTTGTATTTTTATATTTTACCACTTGGCCTTGCACGGCCTTGATGAAAAACACCCTTGGGTGATCAAGTTTTTCCGTGTTTAAATAAAGTAATTATTATTATTATTATTTCTCTTCCTCTTTCTCAGTTTCATCGTTATATCTCTTCCTCCTCTTCATCATGCTCGTAAGTCTACAAACACCTCTCCAATTAAAGCCTGCTTAAAACCCCTTTCTCCAAACTTTCATTGTTTAACTAGGTGTGATTTACAGCAAACCAGATGCCTGAGCCTACCCACTGGGTTCCCTTGCTGTAAATCATATGAAGACCACTATGCCCTGTAATTCCAGCACAACCCCACTGCCTATAAATCTAAGGAATCACTTTAAAAAGGTGTTTTTTAACATGTCAGTCACTGAAGATAGAGAACTGCTCACAAATAACACAAGGTTGACCAGTGAAATGAAGTGTACATTATCTCTTTTTTAATGTATTGTATAAGCGGTTTGGTGCATCGGTTGTGGCTTGGACTCCCAACCTTGAGGTCAGGGGTTCGAAACTCTTGCTTTATTCTTACCTTCATTCATTATTTATTCATTTTTACATTTTCCCCTCATCCATTGTTGTGAATTGAGCTCTTTCATCCAATACACATGTCAGAATATCAAACCTCAATACCCTTTACAACACTTTAATTAGATCCCTAAAGAAAAGTAGAATGTTATTACACTATTAGAGGAAGCTTAAAGGAAGATCTAGGCCAAACATGAAAGTTTACACAACATACGGTATGCCTGAAGGGGAAGGGGAATATTGCTTTTACTTCGCTACAGGCCTGCGTTAGGCCTAGCTTTCACCAAATTTACATGATACAATGTTAATTTATGATTTTAAAGTAGTCTGACACTTCCTCCACTTCCCTATCTTAGAATTGCCACTGATCGTAATTTTTTTAATCATGATTACAGTTACACATGATTAAGAAATTACCTAGGATTATTAGCCAATCAAAACCAATTTATCAGCAATAAAATGAAACTCATTAATACTGGACCCACTGTTGTTGAGTAATTAAACAAACCTTAATATTTACATCACACCCAATAAATCCGATGACCAAAGTGCTACACCTGGTATGACCATTGAATACCCATCTGACCATGATGGTATTATTAGGAATAAAATCTTTATGATCTGACCTTAATGGCACCAGTCTCACATTCTGCTGCAAGATGCCAACTAATAATTAAAAAATAGCTCCTTCAAAAAAACAGATTAATTGTTAGCTTTGATTCCACATGAAATTTGTTAATGCCTGCAGCAAATGTCAGTATCCTGAGCTCTCCGACTGTCAAATTTAAGCCGGGCATTCACTGCGACCGTTGGTTGTCGCTATTCTATGGAACACGCAATGCCATGGAGGGGGCCAGGGCCCCTTTGTCGGGGAGAAAAACCACAATTCGTCGGGGGAAAAAAATGTATTTTCTACAGTAGACTTTCAGTAAACTCTAAATTAAAATGCGATTAAATAAGCCTTTGAAACACCCTAAATTGTCATATTTTTCAGGGGTTTCCTGGGATTTTGATCGACGACCGACCATGGCCATTTTTTTCTTCGTCAGGGACATCGGCCCCCGTCGGGCAAATTCTGGCGCCACCCCCAACACCACGCGATGGATTGTTTTTAATGACAATGTTCACACTGCCACCGACAATCAGCAGACTCACAGGAAGCTGAGTGGAATTTGCCGGCTGACCGTCCTATGATGCAGTGAGTGCCGGCTGACCGTCCTATGATGCAGTGAGTGCCGGCTGACCGTCCTATGATGCAGTGAGTGCTGGCTGACCGTCCTATGATGCAGTGAGTGCCCAGCTTTATACCTCATATCCTCATGAAGCAGCCACAAGCAACTGATGGCTGGACCTTGGATGTCAACAACATCACAGCTTATGCTGCTAGAAGATTGTGTAAACCTATTAAAATAGAATTACCTGACTGTTTATTTACATTCTTAAAACTCTGGGATATATTGCTAAATTGTGACAGTGGACACCTAAGTATTACTGCAATTAAAACAAACATGATCAGGTAGAGTGTGACCTACAAGACCATCCAATCAAAAGTAGGCAATTTGGAAGTAGCAGTCACACTAACACAGATGGTAACAACTGACATTCATGTACACTAATCATCACAGTATTTTTCTTTTAGGTCGTGAATTTGGTGTCTACAATCCATTAAATTTTTAGTTTTAGAAAGTTGGTTACACCAACAATATTTACAAATTCACATGAAGTTAGGGCCTTATGAACTACATAAAAAATATTATTAGTTTATCACCCTATCCTAGGCTGCAAATGTGATGAGGAGGGAGGTATTTTAAACTTCTGGATATGCCACTGGTTTGTACCATACAAGATATTCAACTTAATGATGGAATAAATACTAACCAATATATTGAAATAAATTTAACAAAAATAAATCTGTTTAAAGAAATATTTATTTAAAAATATAATTTGTGCATGCGATCCACACGATCATGCACGGACAGATCAAGGAACCATACTATGGCTACGAAAAATGGCCAAACATGTGTCCTCTATTTAATACAATCAAAGTTAACTTTCGGAAAAAAAAACCAAAAATATTTCATCCATGGTTGGCCTAAAACCATAACAGAGTCTAAAATGTCTAGCTACGTACCTGCTTTAAAGCGATGGCTAGACCTAAGCCTGCTTTTATTTACTGTCCAATATACCGTAAGGTAACGAATACGATTTTTGATTCAAGCAACCGCTAGTTATACAGTAGTAAGAATAGGCAATGCCTAGACCTCTCTATATCTAATCGTGGCTTGACAACTCAGCGCGCATGATCCGATGTTGCTTGCATGCATCGTCATCGTCGCACTCGGTTTTCAAAATTATGCCTTCTATTTTACCGATTTTACACGTGCATCTATGATCCGATTTTGGTAAAAATACATGTGGTATTTCTCAAATTTGTACTTGAGTGAAAGGAAGACCTTTGAACAAATTTTCCCAATTTTTTGAAAAATTTTGGTCAGTCGCGGAGGGCAACTTTTTTTGGCCTTACTTAATACACAGCATGTGTTTGATATTTAACATCTCTACAATCGCCTTACAATTCACTTACACAAAGTTCACAATTTACGAGGAAATATATATTATTATTTGAGATCTACCAATACAAGCTGGCAAAAAAAAATTCCTCAAAAAAATTACAAGTAGTTGGTAAGTATTTATGTGTTTTTATTAATGCACTATACCATGTTTATGCCAAATTACTATTAAACTTTATCTAATGATCTTTGCCATAAATTACAAACATACCAGCAGTCCTTTCTAGTTAATATTTGCAGATGTTAATGGCATAACCCTTTCCTCTAGTAATAGTAACACATATTCTTTCTTAGAATTCATTTTTTTGTTGGTATTTTCTTATGAATGAAGAGGAAAGTTAGATTGACATTCAGAATGTAATCACATTGTCCCTCAGAGGTTTAATACAAATTTCAGAAGGAAAACATTGCTGACTCAATGCAGCCTTGTTAGCTCTTGCTTTCCACATTTCTTTACTTTGTTTTATGATTAAAATGAATTTCATTGCAATCTTTAAATATCTTCTGTGTGATGTAAGCACTTTTTCCAGGTAAATGTTGATGCCGTCCAGGTAAATGCTGATGTTATTTTGGTTCACTAAAGCAATTTTTATGGCTCATTATTACTGAACCTTTTTTATGCTTAGTATAAATAGATGACATAACTAGTTTTTATTAGGTAATATGTAGTGGTAAAAGCAAACCCAAATGACAAGTGTGAGCACATCTTTGCCAAAGTTTCAGCCAGGCACTGCCTTGTAACGACTGTGATTCTCTCACATCGAAAATCGTACACAGAGCACCATAGCAGAGATGCCAAGTTTGTCATTAGCTGGGAGTGAGAACAATCAAACAAAGGAGGGAGCGTGTTAATTACAATTTCTTAGTCTGTCTAGATTGTCTTCCCCACACGCACAAACAAAATAGACTAGGCCTTTTTTTAAGTCGGCCTAATGGCTGCTGTTCATATTCGTACTCATAAGTAATTACTAGTCTTGAAGTCCAGACATTTCATGTCATCCAATGCAACTAATCAACTAATGGCTGTGCACCCAAAGTCTTTAAATATGTCTGGTATTCATAAACTAGACAAGTGCGAAATTCTATTGTAAACAGACCACGTGCAGCAGGCCCAGACAGCTGACGGCTAACAGGTACGATATTGTGAGAAAATATGCACCTGCTGTAGGTCTAATGTGCACACACACAACAGACCTGGATAACATGAAGAATTCATTTTCAATCTTTACTGCAGAAAATAACAAATTTTAAAATTTTATATTGGGTAGGCTTAAATTTTTTCTTTTAAACCGCCAACAAATCGCGGGGTGTTGGCAACTCTAAGTTGATGTATGCAGTCTGGTGCGTAACCCTGGCATAGTTGGTTTTCTGTATGATATCTCTTTGTGCGCCGACAATTTGTTAATAAAATATGCTGCGTATTGTCAAGAGTCGTACTTTTTATAAGTACTCTGGAAGCATTACACATTACATGGTGAAGTAGCCTATTCTAAAAGTGCTTGTCCACAGACAAGTGGTCCCTAGGATTCTTTTTGTCCGACTGTCCGCTCATGCCTGACACTAAATAAAACTATGTATTGTTCATAAGAGGCGGGTAAGAGGCAGAGGAAGGGGTGAGCACATAGGTAGTCTTTCAACCTAACAAGATATGTTACAATAAACAAACTGGTATTTGTTGAAACTAGTTCAAATTTCCCCAGAGTGTTAGTAGAATGGTAAATTATGTTTTTCAACTCTCCCCTATTTTCAAGATCCGTAACATGTGAAATAACTCAATTATGATTGGCTGTAAAAAAAATTCATCAAAACACTTGGCTAGGTGAATAACCTGCAAATTTGCCAACTTCAAGTATGTGAACCTGGATGTAATTTATTGTTACACTGCAGGAAATACTAAATTTAGCTCTGAATCAGGTTGTACTTCGCTGCGCTCCAATGGAAAGCCAGGACACCAAGATATATGGGGCAATATCAACGTACTTCCTTTTAATGACCTCTACTTGTATACATATCAATACATTATTTGTCCCCCTCACCAATTCACCAAATCCTCTTACCAAAACTTTTTTTAATGCGAACATAAGGGCTAATACTAGAATAATTTGTATGTGGTTGGTTAGTATTGAAGATATTCTTATTCACTGAATTTTTGGTTAATGTATTATAATTGGTACTTTCCTTGTGACCTATTTTAGTTCTGCATTAAGTTCAAATCTGAAGAGACCACTTGCATTGTTTACATGTGCACACTTTATGCAACATTGCATCCACAGCCAACAAGCAGAACAGTAAAAAAAAACATGTGGTAATATAAACATACTTCAAAAATTAAAGGAAAAGAACCAAAATGAAAATCAAACAAAACATAAATCAAACAAATATATTTTATAATTTTGCTATTCAACAGCTATTGTTATCCAAGGCCAGAGCTACAAAGTTTAGGAGATACCAGGCATCTCTCCTAGTTCTACCTTCATGCATTCACATTCACGCCAGCATGGGCGCAGATCATGTGGGAACACGACCCCCCCCCCCCGCACATATTTTTAAGATTGTTGGTCTCCCTCACTTTTCAACCACAATGTAATGAAGATGCCTGGAAAATGTTGAAATGAAACAAATTTTTCAAAGAAAGAGACTGTACAGCCAAAGTATATCTTACCTTATAGCAAGATACCAGTGTCTCTGCCCACAAGCATCTGAATTACCAATATACACGACTCAAGTGCACGTGCTTTTATTATAATTTGAGAAGCATGAAAAAAAACGTGTAAAGATTAGATTGCTTTTCGGCACATGAAGTAGATAAAGTAAATACATCAAAGACATTTAAGTTTTATTTTCTAAGGTACATCACACAGATAATTTTGATCGCTATGATTGTCGAAAACCGCTGATGAAAGATCAGAAGAAATTTGTTGGCGCTTCATTTTGACTATAAATGTGATGTGATGATGATAAATTTTACTACATAACCATCCGAGAAAGGTAACCTATTTCCTCAAAATTTTGCACCTGAACCATAACCATGGTGGGGCTGAGGTGGGTGAGGACTCACAGCTCTGAAGTAGGTGAAGTATTAAGCAATACATCAAACCCAATGTTTTCAAGATTTCTATGGTTGCCGAAAATCGCTGATAAAAGATCATGAGAAATTTATTGCTGCTTCATTTTGACTATAAATAATGGTGATGTGATGATAAATTTTACTAGTTTCGGCCATCTGGAGAACAGGTATTCAACCTTTTAAGCTGGTGGCCATTTTCAATCTGTTAAAACCAGTGGAGGCCGGCGTAATTATTATGTACTTCCAAATTTGACAGCCCACCCATTCTCTTTTATAGGTTCAAGTCTTCCTAATGTTAATTATAATGTAGCCTTTGTTTTTCTACATCACTATGATAGGCCCTGATTGGTAAGATAAGGGGATACAGTAGCATGGGGAAAGGTGGAGGATAAAAAAGACTTACACCTAGGCAATACAAATTTCCACAAAGTACTGCCAGCACCAGAAATTCCGATATCACCTAAAAAGGCCCCCATTTACCTCAGCCCCAAAATGGTTGGGGCTGAGTTCAAAAATAGACACCTTCAAATGACTGGAAATGGCACTCTCACAGGTCTACTTTAAAAATGTTTTCAAAAATAGTGTTTTCAACAGATAGACATGCCCCGAACCTGCTCCCTGGATCCGCCGCTACCAATGGTTAGACTAACGCATCATCATATCAGTTCCCCTTGCCAGTCTCCCCCTCCCCATGTTAATACTCTATGCCACTAGATACAGTGAGCTACACTCAGTAAAAACCAGAATGAGACTCAGTCCTGTTAACAATGCCATAGAGTGAGCTGTCCTGTTTTTATTTACAGAAATCGGCCAGAAAATGATTTTTTTCTGAAATTTCTAATATTTTGTGGTGGCGGATGCGTTAATTTGCCAAAAATAAAATGTTATTTATTCGCAATCGTTATCGACGGGTTCGCTAAACAAACTATAAAGAAAGTTTTGCCTTGGACTATGACAAACAGCCAAAAAAAAAAAAAAAAGGAATGGAGCAGATTGGATGAATGTATGAATGAATGAATAAAAATCTATAAAATGTAGCCTCTAATTTTACAAGAAAAGTACAAAGAATAATCGCATGTTGAAAAGTAATACTTATTTTTCATTTATTCAAGAGGACGATGACAGCAGTGAAGGAAATAATGGTGACATTGATGATGATAATGATGCTGACTTAATAATAATCATCATCAAATAATAACAATAATATGATCTTAATAATATTTATTATTATATAGCACCTTTCCATGGTAATGAAAGTGCATCACAACAGGCAAACATTAATCCTGCGACTTAACAAAACAATCACGATTCATAACAATGCTCTTGAAAATGACGATTAATAATAAACATGATGTACTTTTTCTTGTCCACTTGCCAACAAATAATCCAAATAAATTTTTTGTACAACTAAATGCTGAGTAATGAAAAGTAATTGGACCGATTTAAAACTTGGGGAAAATGCAAGAAAAATGGCAAAATCTATCTGGTTCACATAGAAGTAGGTCAACAAGGACAGCCTAAACCAAGAGGTGGAACAAGCAGTCAATTCTACATGTAAATTCTATACTAGGCCTACACTATTTTTTTCCCTGGCAGTAAAGACCTAAATACACATACAATACTTGGCAATACCCATCCTGAATAAAGATCATTAGGTAAAGAGTAGGCAATAAGTCAGTTGCATTCCCCAAGGCACATCTTGATTCAAAGTTACAGATGATGATTTGACAAGTTAATCACACTATTGAGGGCGCTATAACAAAGCAAGCGGTTCAATTTAGCATTGAAAGGCAAGACTTTTTTTTATACCTTGCTTAGCAAACCCGCCGACTGCCAATAATGATGATTTGGAATAAAAATAAATTTTATTTTTGACCAATTAGTGCACCTGCCGCCACGAAATTTCAAGAAAAAAATAAAAGTTTTTTTTTTATGTTTACTGCTCCCGCCACTTCCTTTAAATCTCCAAAAATAAGGGTATGTATATTTCTTCCTAATTATATAAATTCAAAGCATATAACCATCCCATTACTATACTGTTTACATTCACCAATAAAACTGTAGTTTTTATTAGTAGTTTTTATTTTCTCCTCCATCTGATATTTTTGTCATAACTATTTGCTATAAAAGAAAACAACATTTTTTTTCCACCCTCATCTGACGATCTTAAAAAAATAAGTTCACGAAAACAAGAAAAAAAAAAAGTCTCGCCTAATTTCAACTATATCTTGATCTTGCTTACTTATTTATTATTTAATTTATCTTCTCTTTATTCTTTCATTTTAACATTAAAATTGATTCCTATTTGTACGCCTTTTGCTGGTGCCTACTGTAGCTGCAGTCACGTAGGATTAGCCTACGACGAAGAGACTATGGAAGAAAGAATGGAGCAACTGGGATGAATGTAGGGATAAATGAAAAAAAATCTACCAAATTTAGCCTCTAAGTGTCTAAGCAATAAAAAGTAAGTAGCCACCATAAAACTTTTACCTACAGTATAGTGTCAAATTCAACGTGACTTAAAAAAACTACTTGGTAATATATTACACTTTCATATTAAAGTTCACAACACATCTGTCAACTGAATATCTGTCTTTCATCAACTTCCATATTAAATTCAGATTTAAAACTTGTTTCTATACTCAAGAAATATTTGATATTAAACACATTATTCTGACAAGCTGTGTTAAAATCATTTTAACATAATAGTATTTCTCGTGTTTGTAACTGAGAATTTTTGTTTGTGATGGCATGACAGTTGATTACATATGCACGCCGCAATGGTACAGCTGTTATGTTTATATATTGAGATTGTGTAACTCTACTGTATTACAGGACTTCTTGTTTATGGTGTCAATGTGCACATCAACAGGATCATGTGGTGATCGTGAATCTCTAATTGACGATTAAAAAACCCTGGAATGTTTGATGTTGTCGTCTTGATGTATATGTTGTCCAACTAAACTACCACAATTAAATTTTTGACATATATCCAAAAATATAAAACTTGAAAAATATAGCCATGACAATCTGAACCTGTTCTTGGACTTCAGGCAGAGTATTCAGCTGAATAACATTACCACTTAAGCCGGCCATACAACGAATGCATCTCCGGTCTCTGTGAGCGCTAGACTACACTATGCCATCGGTGACAATCTCAACAGACCATCATTAAAAACCTTCTGTGCACGCACATCGTTGCGTTGCATTTACCATAGAATCGCGTCGGCCGACAACAATCAAACGTGATTGCCAAGCTTTACTATATAAGATATTTATACCAGACATAAGTGTCAACCTTGAGAAATTTCAAAGAGTAAGATCGGGTGACTCATAATGAGTGCCAAAGGGTCGAACATTTGTTGGGGGCCAGGGGGCCGCCAAAGGCTCTCGGTCGGGGGCCAGGGGACAAAGGCCCCCTGGACGCTTTGGCTTAAATGCTAATACTGTAGATATTTAGTGAGTATATAATGATCTCAGATGCAGTAGTTATTGAAATATGAAGGTAGAATGTTATGATTATGGATGTTAGTTTTAGTAAAATTCATTAAAGATTGAAAACGAAACTAAATTTTACTCAAATTTCAGGATAAGCATTTTTTGACGGTATTTGCACAAAACCGTAAGATTTGATTGGAATGCGCAAGACTTACGGCAAATGCGTAAGGGTTGGTAAATGCGTAAGGGTTGGTAAATGCGTAAGGGTTGGTAAATGCGTAAGGGTTGGTAGTATATATTTTTTTTTAGGGTCTCACATCGTGATAAGTACTCTTGCACTTCAAGATTATGATCCTCTTCATAATGTAAGCTCATATACATTTTATAGTTGGAAAATAAATGTGTTATGAAATAAAGGATACCTTTGAAAATTAATTTCCTTACAGATTACTTGACAAAAATCTTTACAATTTTAGTGTTAGAACTATATAATTGCAATACAGTGTACCGCTAAACGTCATGGCTTTCTCTGAAAATTTCTAATTGTATGAAATAAGAAATACAAAACATGACATAACTTTATTGCAATGTTCATCAAACTGTACAGTTAAAGAATCAAATTGAAGTTGAACAAAGGTAATCGAAAACAGTCATATGGAACATTAAAAAATGAAGTTTTTTTTTAAGTACACCAAGATGGATAAACAAATGTACTATAAACAAATTCTAATACTGTAAAACCTCAAATTGAAGCCCATTAGGCCTAATCTCGAGATGAAGCCCATCTTAAATTGAAGTCACCCTCTTTAGTTTGCAAAATTAACTTTAAAAAGAAGTCCATGGGCTTCTTTTCAAGATATTACAATATGAATTTCAAAAAAAAAAAAAAAAAAATTAAAAACAAGCTTGGTAAATACTGAAAACAAAAAAAAAAAAAAAAAAATTAAAAACAAGCTTGGTAAATACTGTAGTGGTGATCACACACCATGATAGATACAGATTGATGTTACAGTGGCTGTACTTATTATTTTATAGTACAAATTCACAAAATTTACAGCATTCATTTTTAAAAGAAGCCACCCTCCTATCTTTGCAAAATTAGCCTCGAAAAGAAGCCAATCTAAAGTTTGCAATTCAAAGTTTTACGGTAGATTAATAAATAAATAACAAAATTTAATTTATTTTTACAATAAGAAATAACACCAGAATCAGAAAGAAAAACATAAGAATTGTATAGGCCTATATGTATTCAGTTGTGAAAGATTACCTTCAGTACTGTAGATATGTATGGCCTACTTGACATTATTTGTTGAATCTACTGTACCTGATTTATTTACAAAGTATGTCTATCAGAATAATTGTTAATTTCTTAAGAACCTGTCCTTCATATTTATAGCTTTTAAAATAATACTATCTTATTTATTATCAGCTACATTAAGTTTTTAAATGTTCATACAATTAAATATAAGCCAACTTACCGGTGTAGAATTATTAGCACTCAAGTCTGCTAACCACTTCAATGTGTTATCTTTTCTAGCATCAACGTGGCAAGAAAATATCTGTAACATCAACCATAAACATAATGAGAGTTTACAACACTTGGGACTCCATATACCGGCCATCTCGCAATGCAACTTTCTCAGCATACTTAATGCTCAATCGTGTCTTATGTTTCAAAGTGAGAGTTTTTAGCATCTGATATACTATAAGTCAGTGTTGGTTTCCAAGAATATGGCAATGTTACAGCAATTTCAAAATCAATTGTGTTACATTTGAGGAAACATGAATTTCACACTAATGTAAATCTTCTTCAACTGAATCTCCTCCACCTTTGGCCTTAGAAGTTCCGCAAATTTACACCCTTTGTTTTCAAATTTCACAGTGAAATCTCAAAAAATCATGCTAAAAGTCACAAAAGTTTTGATTTAAATTACTTCAACAAGCTTCAATCATTAAGACAGCAATAAAAAAAATCTTAAATAAATTCTTCTACTCTTCGTCTTATTCAGGAAATTTACCAGAAGAAAAAAATCACTCCCCCTCTCCACCTCTTTTATCTTCCTCCACAACAGTTTATTCTGATCCAAGTCATGAGTCTGGTCCAAATGGTTGGGTTAGGTTAAGTGCAAAAGCATGGTGTTGTTGTAGACTGAGGCTATGTTTAGTGGTAACAAGAGGATGATTAATGGACACTCATCAACTGGCATAATGTGTGAAATGAAGCTTGTGTTTTGCCCTCCAAGTATCCCATAATGATGTTCAGGGAAGTTTTCATTGAGATCTGCTGATAAATCATCAAGACAGTTACAAGATCATTATCAGTGTTATGACAACTGAAAAAATCCTTGACACAAATTGCAGACAATTTATGTAATTTCAGTAAATCTTTATTGTTAAACCAATAATCATTTAAATTTAGCTTTTGCATCTCTCCTGAGATTCAGCCATTGTTTCCCACTGCATTGTTGTTTTCTATCTATTTTAGAGGTTCAAGAAACTTGTTATTTTATGAACTTTCATGAAGTAAATGACTGAAAACTTGTCTTTCATTCTTACAAGAGACTGAAATATGACTGATGCAATAGGTAACTAACAATACTATCTTATCTGAGATTAATCAGTAGACCTTTCTGTTGAAGGGTACATGTGGGTACTGAATCTCTTGAATATTGTTTAAACGTCTGTGATGAAGGTGAAGTCTGCTTCAGGGTGGTGTTTATTAATTAAATAATACCAATTTCGAACTTTTAATCGAAGGGGTATGGTAAGGTGGGCGTGGCAGCGTGAACTTCATTTTGTGCCCCCACCCCCATAAGAAATTCTCTGGATCCACCCATGAAATGACTTGTTTCAATATAAAGCATTAACAAAAAATGTATCAACCTATATACGTTTTATTTCGTTGGTTTATTTTAATTGCAAGTTTCTTTCACCTGTTATATCTTATTTTTCGTATCGTAGGTTATTATTTCCAAAGTATTTTATCAACCATGCTATTAGAAACATTTCTTACACACATAAAATATTGCAATTTATCAAGTCTGATTTCTGTTAGGAAAGGTAAAATCATCGCAATTATAAAAATAGGTACCTGATGATGACATAATTAATGTCAAAATATTGAATCCCAACAAAATGGCATGCATTTCTATACTTGGAGTATGTATTATACTATCTTATCTGAGATTAATCAGTAGACCTTTCTGTTGAAGGGTACATGTGGGTACTGAATCTTGGTTTTGTGTTTATTTTGTTGGTGTACTATGTTTTAATGTATTCCAATTGTTAATGTTGTTTTTAACTTCAACCGAATAAAGGAAACATTAATCTTGATTATTGTTTAAACATCTGTGATGAAGGTGAAGTCTGCTTCAGGATGGTGTTTATTAATTAAATAATACCACCAATTTCGAACTTTTAATCGAAAGGTCGGATAACATGCAAAAAAAATCATTCCGCTAGCTTTGACGGTCATCAAGTGACTCATCAAATATTCCATCAATCTTAAAGTAAACACGATACATGCTTTTTCAAAATATATAATTTTCAATTGGCAAAATTCACAATGAGTACGGTATATTTTCAACATCAAACTCACATCATTTTTTTAAATCTCACGAATGTTTAAAAACTGCATACACCTCACAATGGCTTCATTGGTATACCTACTTAAACTACCGTTACCAAACACAACACATTGAACTGTTTACATGCCCAGGACTTACATGGTAATCTTCCAGAAATTCTTCGTCTGGGTATCAATAATCCAATGGTAAATCCAAAGCACAAGATAATATCCAATTAGATATGTCGGTATTCAAGGTTTGGGTTTTGCATCACAACTGATGGGCGGTCATACCTGGCCTCTGGAGGCACGGCTTATGGTGACACATCGCAGGTCACTTGATGGGTTTGTTGTTATCACATGCCAGTCCCACTGGCTGGCACTACTGTATAATCCCCCTTGTTTTTTTGTTTTTGTTTCAGGCTAGGCCTCTACTACTGCCAATCTTCCCTCTCTACCAATTTTTTTTTTTTTTTTTTAAAACATGGAAAGATGGTGAACAGGGCAAAACACCCGACTGTGCAAAAACAAAAGACCCGTGGAAATGACCAATAACAAAATACGGAAGGGTACTATGGTGAACTTCTTAAAAGGGAGCAAGAACACCCCCAATGCACAATGTGTCTCCGAGGATCTTCCAAGGATGTGTTGTTCCCTGAACAGCAAGGGCTCAAGAGAAAAGCACCCTAAAGTTACCATGTACATATCAAATGCACACACCATTGGGGATATCTTGATCCATAGCAGCTAGGCAATAACATGGACAGATGTGTTAATCTCTAGAAATAATCGTCCATGATGAATCAAGTGATTCGTTGATGATGAATTAAGTGATTCGTCGATGGTCAAGTGAATCGTCGATGATCAATCAAGTGAATCGTCGATGATCACGTGAATCGTCGATGATGAATCAAGTGAATCGTCGATGATGAAACAAGTGAATTGGCGATGATGAAACAAGTGAATCGACGATGAATCGCTGAATCCCAAAAGAAGGTAAGCCAGGCCTAGTATGCAAGACTAGGCCTAGGCCTAAATAGCTGGAAGCATAGGCCTACTGTAGGCTAGTGAAGCACTGAAGAAGTGGCTTAACGAGGCGTGAACTAAAAAAGGTTGGAAGACCGTGTAAATTAGATGGAGATATTGAGTATTTATATAATACTGCTGGACTAACTTGAATACATTCATATTGTTTCAATTAATAAAGTTTGTTTTTAGACCATACTTTCAAAAACTAATAACACAAAGTTTTAGATCAGTAACAACAGGAGTTTGAATCATATTTATAATTAAGCTTCTCTTCAAATGAAATATTTCCAGGTCACAATTAATAATGTATTTTTAAAAATTTCATTCCCATCCAATATCAATGTTAGTTTATTTGTTGATTTTATATATATACATGCTTTGTTAATCCATTTCATTTCATTTTCTCTTTATTTCAGACTTTACATCCATAGTTAAACATCATCAACTTAACTAATAATAATATAAATACAAGGGGAAAATAAACCCCACATGATCCATAGAAATTATGGATTAACATAAAAAAGTTCATTCCATCTTTTTGAGAGCCTAGAACTTTCAAAAAATCCATTACAGAACGAACTAAAGGGTTCACACAAGTAGAAAATCGCTTTAAAAAGCTAAAGACTGATTTGCAAATTGTTTGCTTGTTTATTTATTAATTTTAATTCTTGTTTGATTATTTGTTTATTTTTCCATGTGCTTAGGTTTGTTTAATGTTTTTTGTCATTTTTTTTGTTTTATTTGCTTGTTTATTTATTTGGTTATACATGTATTTAGGTTTGTTTATTTATTTTGTTCATTTGCTTGTGTAATTGTTTATATATTCTGTTGGTTTGTTTGTTTATATTTGCTTGTTATTGATTTTTTTTTCAATTAATTTGTTTCTTTTTGTAATATTTCATTTGTGTATAATTGCTTATGCATTGCTTGTTTATTTCTTTGTATGACAATTCCTTAGCTAAAATACAGTAGGATCCAAGGCCTACAGTACTACTAGTACTATCACAGTATTGCTATATTAATATAGTTATAAATACATATGTACTGTAAACACAAGCCATCTGTATGTTATGGATTGATAAAAATGTGTTGAATTTTTGACTTGCTAGGAATTTTAGTCTCCACCACAATGGCAAGTTGTAATGCTGACCTGCTGCTGGCTGTCTCTCATCAAACCTAAATTTTATTCAAAGGTACGTAAATTAAAGTTTTAATATTATTTAATTGAATTGTAACTCTCTACCATACCTTTAAATTGAACATTAGAATTTTTCATTTATACTTTTTAAATGAAATCTTATGATTTTTAGGGATATTCATCACATTATATAACCCTTAAAAGAGGTCTATTCCCAGATTATCATCACATAAATATCCTTAAACGAGGCCTATTCCCAGATGATATACAGATTATATGTCTAAGATGTATTCATGATATACCATGCACATCCTAATAAATTATAATGTATGTTATTATAATAATTTTTATTGTTTATATTTTTCTAAATTGATTACTCTGTTCATGGAGAATTATGTTGAGCTCTGTTTAAACTTAGGGACCACTGATTTTATCCTCGAATGTTCCTTTTTAACTTCAAAATGAATAAATAAAATTTTAAAAATATAAAAAGTATATTACTTTTATATATATTATAACTCTTAATAATTCACTCTAAAACCAAACAATAAAAATAGAAATAAATTGGATTTAAATTAATATAAATTACAAAGAAAATAACACAAATTTTTAACTGCTTTGGATTTATATGTAATAAAACAATTTTTTTTATTATTTTTTATAAACAGATGCTTTGCATGAGCTTGTAGCTACAGTATGATCAGAATATGAATATACCCAATCAAAGGCTCGGCAAGGAAAGAAAACTTGTTCATAAAACATCTCAAACAATGACCGCACAGTAAGCAAACATTTGACCGCAGCGTCAGAGTCTTATCACACACAATTTCTACCTTTTCAGCTTCCTTTAGTTAGGGGTCGATATTATTATTATTATTGTATCTTATAAATAGCAATTCCTAAAAGAAATATATCTGAAAATCTTATATGATCTAATAAATATTGTAATAAGAATTCTTATGGCAATTCCTAATAGAAATATATTAAAAATTTAAAAAATATTCCAATATGATCTAAATATTGTAATAAAAATTCTTATTGGATCTTATAGCAATTCCTAATAGAAATATATATATAAATTCCTATATGATCTAATAAATATTGTAATAAGAATTCTTATTGGATCTTTAAAATTTCCAATAAAAATTCTTATAAGATCTTATAAGATATTTGGGCCAATTTCTGACAGTCGCATTCCTATAGCAATTGAAATAAGAATTACAATATGAATCCTATACATTTTTCTAATGAATTTCAATTGGATATTTTCGTAAGGGTCTAATGTTTATTTTTTTTATATTTGTCTGTTTACTTCTATGTCTATTTCTTTGTTTATTTTTTTTTAATTTGTCTGCATGCTTGGCTGTTTGGTAAGGTGGATCAAGTCTCGGTGTGAATCAATTCTCCAGTCCTGGGTCGCCCCTAAGCCCTACCCTGGTTTAGCTAGACTGTATGCTATTCCTTGGCCTAGCCTAATTGTAGTCTTGATAGTAGATAGTGCCTAGGAGTAGTAGGCCTAGGCCTAGCCTACCACGATATGATACTAATGTAATAATAATAATATTTTATTCCGTCCTTGTGGGAAATTAATTGGTACATGATACTACATAAAGTTCTCTCAACAAAATCAAAGAAACCTATCCAAACTATGCTTCATTGGATAGAACGAACGTTACTCCACTAAAAAATCATATGCTTTGGCCCTAGATTAGGCCCTGGGCCTGCCTCTCTAGGCCCCTGGCCTTCCACCGACCGGCCTATATCAATCAAGTGCCGGTATCTAGCCCAGGTCGACCTATTTAAATTTTAATTATATGTCACTGATTATATAAAATAAGGAAACTTTCATAAACGATAATAATAGTAATACTTCACTTTCATCATCGACGATTCACTTGATTAATCATCATATATATATATATATAATTTTATATATAATTTGCAAACAATATATGCTGTATTACAATACTGTACAAAATTCAGATAATAATAAAGTAATATCAGTTAACATTAAAATACATTTTTGAGAAAATTTTGAAAATACCAATTGCCATTTAACAATTTAAATAATGAAGTTGGGAAAAGAGTTGGTTGACATCCCATTCTGTATATTCCATTAAAAAAAACATAATTCTGGAAATTTGTAAGATAAAATTAAAAATGCAAAGCTTGCATTAAGAAATTTAAAGCAATTTTACAGTATCTTAATTATAATTTATTCTATAATTTACATATTTACATTATGCCAAAATTAACAAAATAATAATATTGATATGTAAATCCCTGTAAACACTTTATCAGTACCTGAGCTCGATCCCTTCCAGAAGTTTCACTGCGGATTCTTGTTCTTGAATGGTCCCGTTTAACAGAGTTAATTGTACAAAAAATGGTTTAATTCATCGTTTAGATTTTACTTATAATACTTTGTTACATGAAGATCCTACTATTGATATATTCCATCAAAATTTAGGTTCATTTAAAACCAGTTTATTACATGTGCATGCATTTACTTGATTGATCTGATTGGGTTTGGGCTGGGGATGAGTGTGTGGGGGTCTGTGGGTGGGTGGATGGATGTGGGTGTGTGTGTGACTTGTGACCCTTTGTTTCTTTTTTGTGTTTTTCTATTTATATCTTTGTTTTATTTATATGCTTGTAAATATTCTATGACATCCTGTTATTGGCAAGTAATTGCTGTTGGATGTGGTTTTTGAAATAAAGAATAAAGTTAAAACTGAGCATGAGCAGCGAAAGGTTCGACCACCTCCTCAGTCTAGTGAAAGATAAGCTGGAAAAGAAAACCACCAAGTTCCAAAAACCTATCAGTGCAGAAGAAAGACTCGTTATAACACTCAGATACCTTGCAACAGGTGACCAGCAAAGCTCACAGGCTTTCAATTTTATGGTGGGATGTGCAACGGTGTGTAAAATTGTACGCGAGACCTGTCTGCCTATTTGGCAGGTTTTGCGTCCAATGTACCTCCAAATGCCTAAAACTTCTGAACATTGGCAGAAAATATCAGAGGTGTATGAAGAAATGTGGAATTTTCCACATGTAATTGGGGCACTAGATGGAAAACACATTCGGATCGAGTGTCCTAAATTTGGAGGTTCACTATATTACAATTATAAAAACTTCCATTCTACAGTCCTACTGGCAATGTGTGATGCAAGGTATGCATTTACATATGTTAACACTGGCAGTTACGGTGGCATGAATGATGCAAACATTTACAACAACACTCGTATGTGTCAATCACTTAAAGATGGAACTATTGGTTTGCCAGAACCGGGGTATGTAGGTGGCAAAATAACACCGTACTTTATTGTTGGGGACGACATTTTTTCTCTTAAAAACCATGGCTCATGAAACCTTATCAAGGAAAAGATTTGACAGTGAACTCCAGGATATTCAATTATAGACTATCAAGATCTCGAAGAACAATTGAAAATGCCTTTGGCATATTAGCAGCGAGATGGAGGATCTCAACAGTAGAAAACATAGTAAAAGCCACTTTGTGCTTACACAATTACTTGATAAAAACAGATAATGCGAGATATTCGCCACAAGGGTTTCTTGATTGCTACGACGGGTAGCAATCGAGTATGAAAGAAGGGGAGTGGCGAGAAGTAGTGAATGGCGACACAGGCATTAGACCATTAGCAAGGGATCGATGCAATAACTATGTTTCATGCAAAAAACATTAGAGACCATCTCTGTTAGTACGTCAATTCAAAGGAAGGTTCAGTACCATGGCAAAATGATATAGTTATGTATTGTGGTCAGAAGAATTAACACTCACCATCGTTTGATACAGTTTTTCTGTGTTTAATAAATCCAGTCAGCCAGCGCAAACTCTCATAAGGAGCTGAGAGTGGAACACTCCCACTTCCAGAGGGGACTTTCAGTCCTCTCAGGTATCTGTGTAAATAAGCATGTAATTTAAAAAAAAGTTTCAACCAAAGACCTCTCATGTTTTTTTTAGCATCTAGCATAGGCTTATGTGCTGGCATAATTTTGGTAAATTTAGCATCATTTTGTCCTAAAAAGTAAATATCTCAAACTGGTCTCGCACACACACAAAAAAAAGAATAAATTAATTAAATTTAAAAAAAAATAAAAATTGGTCATATTAAATTGAAACCCAACAAAATTGGATACCAGGACAATTATTTCATCCAAAAATCCTTGCAATTGTCAATATCTATTAGCCTATTACGCATACAACATCACATTGGCCAGAGGCAGGAAGCGCATTTCCGCGCATCATAAAATAAAAACTTTCCAGTCTGTTTTTTTTTTCGTTTTGCCTTTGTCCTGCACCTGGACTACAGAACTTTTTAATCCTCTGTCAAGTATGTTCCTGACCTGAACATTTTTTAAGTGAACTGTATGATTATGTTATGCCATGAAACAACTGTTATTAAAATGGTTCTATTTACCGAAACGTCATCCAAGCTGTCATCGCTTTACTTTTGACGATGCTTCTTGCCAAGAGGCAAAACATGTCAACTTGTTTTTCATTTCAATATGTATAATTTGAAATTGCATTTTGTTTTTATGGTAAAATATATATATATATAGACCATTAAAAAATATGTTTTAACTGTGGCCAATAGTCATTTAAGTATGTGTAAATAAAGGCATGTAACTTTGAAAACAATTTATTAAATTAGTTTTTTCATGTCAATATTTTGTAATGTAAAATTACAATTTGTTTTGGTGGTGAAATATATATACACCATTAAAAAAACGTTTTACTGTGTATTCATTTGGCGGTACCCACAAAAGATTAACTCTCTCCATTGCAGGCTATTATTGCAGCATGTTTAAATTTTGGTTAATTATGGTTATGGTTAGAGTAATACACTGTATATTCATATTTCTTTACATAGCATCACAAAAAAAACAATATAACATTCAAAATCCTGAGTGCTGTCATGTCTAGGCGGGCTATGTAGACCTACATGTCATTGTTCTAATCTATCACTTAATTTTTTTTTTTTTTTATTTAAGGCCTTGTCTAAAAAATAGGCCAAAGAAAAGCATGACCTACTACATCATTGCTACCTCATTGTGAGCTGTGTATGATATTTAATAACTTTGGCCAAAGCATACCTTGTAAAGCGATCTCGTATCGTTTTGTAAAGGGCCTCGGGGTGTTCATGCCCCAATTCTCTCCCCACTGCTTTCCATGCAGCCCGTTTTGTATCCCTGTTTTTAAATTCTCTGCAACTCTTGTCATATAGACAAGGATAATTTTTTACGACCTCCATAAAATCTGCCTCTTCTATTGAGATACCATCTTCGCAAATGACGACTGATAGACTAGACAGGCCTAGGCCTAGGCCTAGAAAATCATCGTGGCAATTGGTCGGGAGTAATGTATATAATATAACTCCATGGACCATGGTCACAGAAAACAGGGAAACAATACTTTTTGGAAGTTGATGTTCACCAACGCCTTGATAGGGCATAATTAGCTAAATTCAAATCTAATTGTCACATGGATTACTCATTACATACCCATCAAATATACCTAAAACACATGCATACACAGACAACTCATCGCCAAAATGTAAACATTAAGTCACGCATACGCAAACAACCAATGGAATGGTTAGAGCATGCGCAACTGTGCTTTCCCTTGCGTTTGCGAGGGAAAATCAATTCAACTTTTCGGAAGGGCGCCCTGTACGTTGGGCACGAAGTATAGGACACTTGCATGGTTAAAAAGAAGGGCGCCACCTACGTTGGGCACGACTTCCGCCTCATTTTTACAATGCGAGAACTCTATCTTGTATTTCTAGTATCTTTGCCGCAAGAACAACGCAAAAGTTGACTTGCCGTTGCGTTGCGTTGTCAAGTTTGCGTCGTCGGTTGCCACTTGGTTGGAAGCCGCAAAACCCTCGCGTTGCGTCACTCTGCGTCGATACGTTGCGTCTGCGTCGTTGCGTCATAGTGGGAGCTTTAGATGGGCACCGCTGCTGCAGGTGTTGTTATATTTTATACGTTAATCTTAGATGGGCACCACTACTGCAGTTATGGGCACCGCTGCTGAAGGTGTTGTTATATTTTATATATTAAATCCTTAGATTGGCACCGCTACTGCACCACCACTGCAGGTGTTATTATATTTTATATTAATTCTTAGATATACGTTAATCTTAGATGGGCACCACTGCTGCAGGTGTTGTTATATTTATATATTAATCCTTAGATGGGCACCGCTATTGCATTATGGGCACCACTCATTATGGGCACCACTACTGCAGGTGTTGTTATATTTTATATATTAAATCCTTAGATGGGCACCGCTACTGCATTACGGCCACCGCTACTGCAGGTGTTGTTATATTTTATATATTAATCCTTAAATGTATTTATTTATTTATTCTTTCTTTATACTGTAAGCGCTTTCAGTATTATTTCATTGATTTTCAAAGTGGTACAGTTTAAACATAACAAAAATATATACAATATAAAGAATTGTTTAACAAAAAATAAAAAGAATATGGGCACCACTACTGCAGGTGTTTTTATATCTTATACATTAATCTTTAGATGGGCACCGCTACAGCTGCAGGGTGTTATTATATTTTATATATTTATCCTTAGATTGGCACCGCTGCTGCAGGTGTTGTTATATTTATTAAATCCTTAGATGGGCACCACTACTGCAGGTGTTGTTATATTTTATATATTAAATCCTTAGATGGGCACCACTATTGCAGTTATGGGCACCGCTACTGCATTAATGGCACCACTACTGGAGGTGTTATATTTTATACACCGCTGCTGCAGGTGTTTTTATATTTTATATATTAATCCTTAAATTTATTTATTTATTATTTATTCTTTCTTTATACTGTAGGCACTTTCTGTATTATTTCATTGACTTTCAAAGTGGTACAGTTTAAACATAGCAAAAACATATACAATATAAAGAATTGTTTAACAAAAAATAAAAAGAATATGGGCACCACTACTGCAGGTGTTGTTATATCTTATATATTAAATATCTAGAGCAAGGAGATGTTCATCTCCCTGTCTAGAGTTTCTATAGAGACGCTTACCCATGCGCTTACCATAAAGGCGCCGCTCGGGTTCGTTTGTTTCCTGTATTTTCTCCACTTAGTCAAATGGTCAAATTTTACCCCATTCGCGGGAGGGCGGACGTTCCATCAATTTTAATGCAATTAAATACGCGAAACAGCTCATTCTTTCTTCTTCTTTGGTAGCAGCGCCAAGACGCGTTGCCGCTTTGGAACTGGAATAAAGAGTAAATCATTAAATTGGTGGGTGGAAGGCCATGAAATTAACTTTAGACTGGATGGAAAACTACCAGACTGGGTGGCCCCGCCCACCTTCCCACTATAACTACATCCCTGTATATAGCATGAAGTGATTTAAAAACATTATTTTCATCACGATTATTGAGAGAAAGGAATGTGGGTCTTCGTTTTTCTGGTCTTCGGTCTTCGTTTTGTAGACGCCCAGGCCTATGTCTATAAAACGAAGACCCTAATTAAGTTCTTGATTCATTTTATTCCGATGAAATAGGTACTTTGCAACTGTTTTATGATGATTTTGAAATACTTTAAATTAAAGATAGGCCTGAGAAATAACTGGAGATCGTTTTTCGGGTTTCGGTCTTCGTTTTGTAGACACCCATAAAAAACGATTTTGATTTTGTGACAGCCTGGTGTATTATCATCAAAATAAAAGAGAAAAAATAGGGGTCTTCGTTTTATAGACACCTGTCAATCAGGTCTACGGCAAAGCGCGTCTTGGCGCTGCTACTCTGTAACCGAAAGTAATGCTTGCTATATCTTGCTATGCTTGCTATATAATCTAAGTAGGCCTATACCTTTATTCATATTGAATATGAACGAAATATGTTTGTAAGAAATCAACATGAAACAATACATAGAATTGTACCAGTGTGTCCGAGCCTTTCTAAACGTTTATACCCTTTAGAATCAGTAGTACTTATAATAGCAGTTAATTATTGCCTACTTTACACTCTACACATTTTTTTTATATAAGAACCAGTAAAATTTTGCCCAGGCTCAGTGTTCTTATTTTTTGGCCGATTTCAGGCTCAAAATGTTCTTATTTTGTTAGTTTAAACACCTTTTAAACAATAAAATATTTAATTGTACGGCAGTATGCACTGTACTGGAAATGTAGGTGAAAGTAACCCCACAAAAAAATGGCCCCCAAGTAAGATAGGTACACCTCAAAGATCTTATAAACACAAGATAGCGTTCTCCGCAATTTACGAGTGAAATTCTGTGAATAAGGCATGAATGGCGCCCTCTTGCTAAATTGGAAACTTTTGACCCTTGACCGCTCTGACCATACAGTACACCGCGCGATTTTACCTTAGGGTATCAATCCTGTGAACAGCAGAACAGGAACCATCTCAGATCCATGGCAACAGATAGGACGCCTTCTTCCAAAACTGATTACTTTTTCTCTTCGGCGCGGTAATAGCGCATGAATGGCGCCCTCTTGCTAAATTGGAAACTTTTGAACCTTGACCGACGCTTCTATTTGTTACGCGTAAATCGCGGAGAACGCTATCTTGTGTTTATAAGATCTTTGGTACACCTGTATTATAGAGGGTATTACAGTCACACCTACTGCACATAATGTACAGATATAATATTTTGGTTTTTAAAAATATAAACCTCATTTGAAATTTTACCTCAGCCTCAATTTGTCCTTATTTTCAGTTGTTCTTAATTTTTAAGCAATTTCAGCCTCAGTGTTCTTATAAAAAAAAAAAATGCACTCAACTAATCGAACAGAAATTCAACGCTGCTTTTTATACTTTCAAAGACCAGGTTGTATGTAAACACTGCCTAGGCATAGGGATATTATAATTACAATAATAGTCAATTACGGTAGTTCACTCTGTATCGACTATATACACTTTTCCTCTCGACCGACTACCAAGAGATTTTGGCCTACCCTAACTAAGCCGTAGCTTTCATATTCCACAATTAAGCAGTGAACATCACTTTCGTACGAAAGCCTATTCATGCCACTTAAGTATATAAAATCATCAAAATGTAATCCGAAATTTCGGACTAGTAATCCGAAATAACGGATTAGTAATCCGTTATTTCGAATTAGTAACTCGTTTGAAATAACGAATTACTAATTCGAAATTTCGGATTAGTAATCCGAAATAACGAATTACTAATTCGAAATTTCGGATTAGTAATCCGAAATAACGAATTACTAATTCGAAATTTCGGATTAGTAATCCGAAATAACGAATTACTAATTCGAAATAACGAATTACTAATTCGAAATAACGAATTACTAATTCGAAATAACGAATTTCTAACTCAAAATAACGAATTAGTAATACAAAATAACGAATTACTAACTCGAAATAACGAATTACTGAGTGAATTTTCAAGAGCCAGTACACATGTGACAAAGATGTGTTTGATCTTTGTTCGATATTAACGAGAGAAACACAACTGTCTCAACCAAATAATCCTGAAGAGAGTCTGTATTTGTATAATGTTTTACGAATTGCAATAACTGAATTACTTTGAGAATGAAGCTGGTTTTGTTTTTCTCAATAAACAGTGTGTACAGTAACAGGTACAACAAAAATTACGAAAAAACGAATTACTAATTTGAAATAACGAATTACTTAATTCGAAATTTCGGATTAGTAATCCGAAATAACGGATTACTAATTCGAAATAACGAATTAATAATTCGAAATTTCGGATTAGTAATCCGAAATAACGAATTACTAACCCGAAATTTCGAATTAGTAATTCGTTATTTCGGATTAGTAATCCGAAAAAACGAATTACTAATTCGAAATAACGAATTGCTTAATTCGAAATTTCGGATTAGTAATCCCAAATTTTTCGGATTACTAATTCGAAATAACGAATTACTAATTCGAAATTTCGGATTAGTAATCCGAAAAAACGAGTTACTAATTCGAAATAACGGATTACTAATCCGTTATTTCGGATTACTTATCCGAAATTTCGGATTAAATTTTGATGATTTTATATACTTAAGTGGCACGAATAGGCTTTCGTACTTTCGCGACTCGAAGCAGAATGAGTGTTAAGCAGGTGTCACGAAAATTCAGGTACCATCGATAAATTAGGTACCAGACCTAAATTCTTATTATTCTTATTATTGTTAGCCTAATTACTGTCTCTGTAAAGGAAAGTATGTTTCATCTAACCTTCCCATCATGCTCGCTGATTCTCGCTGTAAAGTGACTGGTGATTTTTTTCAACGTAAATTAGCTTTTACATATTTTTTGCTGATTGTTTATGCTAGATAATTAAGCTGTGAAGTTAAGTTGAACATAAGGTACATGCTCGATTGTATAAACTTTAGTTACTTTATTTTTTTAACGAATACATAGACATATTTAATAATTGTTTACCCAGGAAGAAAGTGTTGCAAATTTGTGTCCCATAGGCTCTGATCATCCAGACGGACAAAATACTAAAATT